AAAAATCGAGAGAGCGACCACTGGTGCAGACTCAAACCGAGGTTTTTCGAATAAGCTATTCATTCGGTGCAATATACCGTGTTAATATAGTGCATCCCGTCTAGACGGCAACAGCCGTTCTAGTCGAGCGAAAAGTTACCTCGTTACGTGGCGAATTCCTGCGAAAAGGACCGGGAAAGAACGGGGATGAATGAATTTGGAAGGTATACAATCCATGCCGCGCACTGTCGATGGCCTGGAAATTGCAAAAAACAAAAGGAGAATAAAAATCCTCTCACATCAAAACAACGATAAAAGAAAAGAACCGATTTTCGCACGAATAAAAATTTTAAATAAATATATAAATATCAAAATAAATTACATACATTTTTCTAATAATCTATAACCGTGCACAGAAAAAAATAAGTGTCAAATATATATATATATATATATATATATATATATATATATATAATCTTATTTTAATATTGTAATTGTCACTTCAAAAATATATAATTATTTAATTCTACTTTTAAAAAATTATAATCTTTGATTTAAAAATATTTTCTATCTAACATTGTTTCTTCTGCATTCAAGAAAATTCAATCATAAGAATATATTTTCTCGATTAAACTATATAAAATGGCTTCATTCGAGTAAACAATTATTCAAGCAATTATATTTTTCTTTAATTAACGCATATAATCTCATTTCAAGATTTCCATGTTAAAACTAAATATATTTTCAAAACAAGAATGTCCTTTTTTCCTTTTTTGCATGTGCAAAAAGTCAATCGATGACAATTTTACTCATATTCCTTTAGAAGAAATAACCGTCAATCAGTTATCAATCGCAACTCTAGAAATGCAAGATTACGCGTCAAAGAGCCTTGAATTCGTAACGTCGTATTCGCACCGTTCCTTAATAACCTGGTTTAATTAAATTCAAAGCGCACGTCGTCGTCGTCGCTTCGATGTCCAATAACCGGCGGTGGCAGTTGTGCGATGCAATCCACCGCGGAAACTGGTGCAAACTCACTCGGGAGCCACGGACGACGTTATCGGGACGGCGAGAGCGAGCGCGACGGGACGTTGCACAATACGTCGCATTCAACGGACCGCGCGCGGTGTCAGTGGCACCCACGTCGATATAATGTGTAACAGTCACGGTGCATCGAGGTATATCGCGCGATTCTAGTCAATATAGGGGACTGCGTCTATAATGGAGACAAGAATTTCGAGATGAGACGACACCGCGTTGCGTTATGTTGAAATACACATCTTATCGTTCTCTGACAAGTTGGAAAGTTGGTACACAAAGTATGCATCGCGTCGCGATACTCCGTACGTCGTTAAAAACACTATGCGATAGTTTGCACGAGTCCCGCGACGATGATCCAACCCACTTTCTCTGACAAGTTTGGAGGGAATTTGTCTTTCAAGTTGAGAAAAATTGACTTTTTATTCTCGAGTTTCTTTCTCTAGAGAAAGCTAAATTTCTAAAACTTTGGGGATGATATTCGTATCTTACTTTATCTTCCATGTAAATTTTAGGTTCGAATTCATAGTCGTTTCTCAAATCTTAAGATAAGAGGATTTCTTAAATCTATCATATTGCGACCAAATCATTAGTTGAATAGAATAGCTCAATCAATGAAATGGTCGTATTAGGATAGATTTAAGAAATTCTCTAGTCTTAAGATTTGAGAAACGACTATGAATTCGGACCTTAGTCTAGTATAGCGTTATACAGAGAAAAAAAAAACATTCTTGTTTTGAAAATATATTTAGTTTTAACATGCAAATCTTGAAATTATATTGCGTTAATTAAAGAAAAATATAATTGTTTGAATAATTGTTTACTTGAATGAAATATTTTATACAGTTCATGGAGAAAAATATATTCTTATGATTTGATTTTCTTGAACCCAAAAGAAACAATGTTAGATAGAAAATAATATTTTTAAATGAAAGATTATAATTTTCTTCAAGTAGATTTAAATAATTATATATTCTTGAGGTGACAATATTAAAATAAGACTATAATATTGTTGAAATTTAAAATTATTAAATTCTTCTAAGAAGATTATTAAATTGTTGTGTATATACGAAACAATGAACGCGTTAGTTTAAGTATATAAATTTTGATTTGACGCTTCTTTTTTTTCTGTATATAAAATGTAAAACAAAAAATAATGCTTTTGATAACGTAGAAACGTACTTGAAATTTCAAGCAAAAATTGCAATATCCACTTTAAATCGCTCCAACAAATTGCTATCGTTCAGATTGCTGGTTTAATTCGACTCTGGAATTCCGACAAAACAAATACATCATTCGAGAACGCTGTTTATCAGTCTGGCGAGTGCTGTCGCGAAAAAAAAAAAACGCACATCCGCGGGAATAACAGCGCAACGCGAACATACATTTTCGAGGATCAGCAATTAATTTGGCCGCTCGGTATATTTGGAGTAGCGAGAGAGTAGCCGGATCGAAACGCGCATTCTCGATAGCTTTATAAAAGGCTTTTACCAACGCAAATGCCGTAAAACGTGAGTGCGTACGCATATATACGCAGTTGTATCTCTCTCTCTTTTTCTCCCTGCCTCCCGCGGGTTACAATTTAACGTATACCGGGTGCGACAACAAAATTAGCGCTTCCATCTCGCCCATCTGCCGCAATGTCCATCGCCCATTATCCGCCGGTCGGACGATAATAACTGTCCATTAGCCCGGCAACGTCAATGCATAACGCAATTGGATGAAGTATCGTGCCGTTAATCGAATTGTGAAATTTGCGTAAATTAGATTGATCAGGTATCGGCTTGTTACAAAATCTCGCGATAAATCGTCTGTCGTGATAAAATTTAATCTTTAAATTGCACATTTAAATTTTTAGATAATTTTCGTACGTATTAAATTGTGAACATATATATAATATGCAAAAATATACATTAAAAATATACATTTTTCCCAAATTTTTAATATATAGAAATTTAATATATAAAAGTTGAAGATTATCGATTCATTTTCTAAAACAAAACAAGAATGTGTTTCTAAAAAAATAGATACTCTCCTTTTTGTAAATTTAAATAATTATCACAAATTTATTATTTATTATTACTATAATTATTCATTTTTTAAATATTAGATAAAATCCTTTGAATTTTATTGAATTGTTATAATATGCAAAACAACGTCAATATTATATCAATACTTAATCAAAATTGTGTGACAAGCAAAGATATTTTTCCTGAAGATATGATCGATATACCTGTCGAATGTGTGACCATTAAATGATCGATGTCAATCCATCCATCAATACGGTCCGGACACGATGACTCTGTTTTTCTATTCCATTTTTAATATGTAGGATGGGATTGCATCGTATATAACTGTACAGACTTGCGGATATTTTATTCAATGTAATATATTAATGTGTTGGAGAAAAAAATTCATTGCAACGAACAGTTTATATTTAGCACTGCTATATAAATTATTTCAATTAAAAGAAAAGAATTCATTTCATAATTAAATATGTATGGAGATAATATCGTTTCAATAATTTTAAACAAATAATTCTGCAAAATATATCTCCACATTTCAGTATCAGTATTATAAGTAAAAATTTTACGATATACGTGAAATTTATATATGTTGCACGCCTCATAATTACGTTCAAAGACATTATATTCGATGTTCATTATTTAAATGTGCGCAAGACATGGTCTTTTCAAAATTATGCGCGGTTTTACGACCCTCGAGAAAAATGTCATTACGACGCAGGTGTGAGACTCCTATTTACGTTCCATACCTCATTAGTTCGTTTCAAGAGGCTGGTCGGCGTAGCTAGAATTCGTCTTAAAAAGGGAGGACAGATTTCACACGAGTATGCACAGCTGATCGTCAATAACGTAAATAGATTAACGTGTTCCCGGGATATTCACTACTTTGAGAAAACTTATTTTTATATAGATATTAATTTTCATCATATATATATATGTATATATTTTCTTTTTCGCAATTTTCTCGCAACAAATTTATAAATAATTTATAAATAATTTTATTGCAATTAAAATTTTTCAGATTTATTATTATTCATCAGACGAAAAAAAGAGAGAAAAAAAGAGAGAGAGAAAGATCTTTTTTTTCATTATTATAGCTTAAAATTCCCCGTCGAAAAATTTTTGAATACGTCATCTCAACGGATTAGCCAGTCGCGATCATTCGGTGTTTTGCAACGAAGGGTTAATGAACGTAATACACGTTGACGTTGGTAAATTTGGTCAACTCCGCACCCTTTCGGGGTGCGTCCTGTGATCAGGACAACGCACCCTCCCATATTGCATCAAGTCGAGTCAGTTTCGACATGTAACGCGCACATCTGTGATCTTTTTTTCCCATGTCTGTGTGATTGTTCATGCTTTTTAATCATGAAGAGAGAAAAACATGGCGAGCCGAGAAATCAACTGTCTCACCGGAGTATAATAATGCTTCCGTCATGACGTAGGTAAGGTGCGCGCGCGTGCTAATAACGCTAATTGTACCAGCGGCCGATGCTTCATTAATTAGAGAGCTTTTCTTGGCCTACGATAAAAATGAAGATATTTTAAGAGCGAAAGTATATGTTGAGAGACCGATTATTCGGCAGATGCGGATTATGAATATTTTTATTTCACGAAAACTTCTTAATTTTGCGAACAAGCAACGAATTACAGACTAATCCTTTCGATTTCATCGTGATCGTGTTAATTAAATGTTGACGTTATTTTTCGTTAGCTGGGCTTAAATATAATTACCGTCTTTAGAAACCATTTTTCTTTGTCATATTTTTAATCATTTTTCTAAATTTTGTAAATTCCTTAAATTTAAGAAAGAATATTATTATATACAATGCTAAATCATTTTATTCTCTGTAGATAGATTAATGATAGATGGATAAAACGAAATTTATAGGGAATGCCGGAGGGGGGGATGCCATTATACGGAATGGGGGAGAAAAAATACGCAAAGACTGCGCCGGGTGTTACTGAAAAAATACCATGTTTTTATTTTCTATTAATAAAATTATAATCCTTACGTTTCTATAAGCGAATTAAATCGCGATGGGTTCTCGTCAGCCGAAGAATGCGTCGTCACTGGAGCCCTCGGGCGTGCAATTCTGCAGCAACGACGCCGTATTCGACATGTCGCTGACGACGTCTCCGCCGCCGACGCCGTTGCCGCCGTTTCCGGTTCGCGGCGGCTTCACATCCTGACCCTGCGAGGACGCGTCGTAGACGCCGCGACTCGTCGTCTGCTGCTGATTCTGCGAATTGATCTCGTTGTAGACCAGTTCCTGGATTTTGAGTCGAACGAACATCTGCCTGTCGAGCGGCAGACTCCTCAGGGGATTCCGGACGCTCATGAGGAAGTGATAGGTATCGTCCTCGTCCTCGGAACCGATCGCCAGCCTCTTCTGCAACGACTCGTATCGCTTTCGGTCTACCTCCACCCCGTAATCATTGTCGATCGCGTCCATGAGCGTCCGTTTGCGGCCGATTATCTTGCTCATCTTCGGCGGCGGCATCACCTGATGCAAACCGTCGTCGTTGGACAGCAACGACTGGCAGGAATCGCCATCCAGGTCGTCGAATTGCGTCTCCTCGTGGCCCTCCAGGATGTCGATCTGCGGCTCGATCTGCGTGCCATCCGGAGACGAGCGCATACCGATCGTCGCGCCGACGCAGTTTTGCGACAGGCTGCAGCCGATCACTCTGGAGTTCATTTGGTCCCGCAGGAAGAACAGGCTCTTGAACCAGACCCACTTGGAATCGTGCTCCGTGCCGCCGCCACCGTCGCACTTACCCCGGTAAGTCTTTTTCAACTCGTTCCGGAAGTTGTCGCGCAGATGCTTCCATTTAGACTTGGCGACGTCAGCTGGAACAAAGCAACAGTCGCGTTTCTATAACTTGTAGTCGTTGAAAGATTATTGCAGTAGTTTGCTCCGAAAAGCTGCAAGATTATTCTCAAAGAGTATATCTTTCATCATTATTTCAATGTTTCGCTATTCATCGCGAATTTTCATCAAATTTAAATACCAGATACATCAAAGAATGAAAGATACGTTATATAAATAAATGGAACACACGATTAATAGTAATTTAATAGGTATCAAAATGTAATAATGAAATGCGCATCGTAGTAAACGCCGCGATCGATATTTAATTCAGCGTTTGTTCATCCGGGTAGCGTCCCGCGCGCACGTGCCGCGGGTAAAACCGCGAGTAAACCGACGTATACGTTTGCGGAAAAAAGAAAGAAATCCCCGTCCAGCGCGTGTATACACGGTGGCATCAGCGTGCGACCTGGCGGTGATTCGCGCGAACTAGCAGAGCCTGTCTCTTTCGCGAGGAACTATCGACCTGTTCCAGCGAACGGTCCGGTTGCCCCGGCTGGCGGTCGCCGGATCCGCTCGATTTCTCGTCGTCTTTACCGACGAGTCTCTCCTCCGGGCCTCTCTACCGGCTTCCGTCGGAGATTCGCGACGAACGAGATACCTCGAGCGTCCTCGCGAGGACAAGTCCGACCAATCGACTCGTACCCGGCGTAGCCCACCCACCCATCGCGAGCATCCACACGTGCGCAGCCAACACGCATATACAAACGTCGAGTCAGTACAAGGACGAGTATAGACGGGGAGAGAGAGAGAGAGAGAGGGGGGGGAGCCGCCGCATCATTCATCGAACGCGGGCCGGCTATACTCACTCGACACCTCGCAGGCCCTCGCGATCTCCCGCCACATCTTTAGTATGACGTCGCGATTGTGATAGTTGACATTCTTCTGGTCCCAGATCGCGGGCCTCGCGTGCACCTCGCTGATGAGCCGCTGCAGGTCCATCGTCATCGCGCTCCTACGGCCGCCGGCGGCGTTGCATCGCCGGGGCGAGCGTTTGCCGGCGCGTCGATTGAGAAGCGTGACGCCGGCGGTGCCGACGGAGGAGGCGGCCGCGCGCGTGCCGCTTCCTCCGACGCGTAGCTGGACCTCCCCGGGGGACGCGTGCCGCTCCGAGGCGGCTGCGGCGAGGTGGCGGCTCCTCGACGGCGGTTTATCGACCCGCGCCGCCACCGAGTCCGACAGGCCCGCGGCACCCGCGTTGGCGTCAGCGTCGGGCTCGAGGACGACGACGGCGTCGGCCGCGGTGCTCTCGGCTACGGCGGCGTTCCCGCTCGGCTGGGCGATAGCGCTGCTACGGGTAGAGACGGCGACGGCGACGGTGCCGGTCGCGTCGTCGTTGCTCGCAGGGAGCCGTTGACGCCTCCTCTTCTTCCTCTTGCGTCTCGCAACGCGGCAGGTGGCGGCGACGGTGGTCGAGGTGGTGGTAGAGGTAGCGAGGCTCGCGGTGACGGCGGTGGCAGTGACAGCGGAAGCGGAAGCGGCAGCGGCGGCGGCGGCGGCGGCGGCGGCGGTGCTCGCGGCGAAGCCGAGCCGAGCGGACGAGCGTAAGCGGCACGAATCCAGGGCTATATCCTCGTCGGCTCGGGCGCGCGTGTCGTCCATGCACGCGCGCGGGCCAGGCGGAAAGGACGCGGCGCACACACGCGCGAGGAAACGAGGCGGCTGGCGACCCCGACGACCCTGACGACCCTGACGGCCCTCCGGATTGTCTCCCTTTGGATTATCAACCAACGTCGGCCCTCGTCCTCGTCGTCGACGAGGCGAGGAGGAAAGCGGAGCGAGTACTAGCACGCGCACGCATACACACGCTCCGGCGGTGTAGTGCTACTCGCGCGCGTCTCGGTCTCGACCACCGCGAGGCCTTCGGCTCCGCTCGACCCCGGCGCTCGGTACCGCTCGGCACCGCTCGGCGCGGCTCGACCCGCTTCGACCCGCTTCGGCTCGATTCAGCGCGTCTCCGCGCGTCTCCGCTGAGCGGATAACGCGCCGCTCAGCGGAGACGCGCGGCGGGTGGAGAGGAGCGGGATGACGCCGAGCGAGTAAACTACCACCGGCTCGGAAAGCGCGCAGGGGCGTGCGAGAAACATTTCGGAGCGGACGACGAACGGATCGCCGACCGCGACGTTCGAACGCCGATCCCGACTCGATCGAAAGTCCACCGAAATTACCTTCGTCGACATTGCTAATTAGATCGAAACGAAATTCAACCCCCGACAGCGAAGTAGCTTGGATGGAGAGGGATTATCGCATTGTGAGAGAGAATGCTTCTTGAGATGAAATCACTTGTTTCTACTTTTCTGAATAGCAAAATTTTAACTAATTAGGCGGAATAATATCGTTACAACTTTCTGTGGAATATATTCTCGACCTTCATCGATAGCCACAAGTGTCAAAATCAGCTGATATCCTTGGAGAAGAAAATATCTCAATTCTGCCTTCTCCTCGCAAATTGAATCCGCCGGAGAAACCGGCCGCTTCGGACATTTCTCGAGGCGTATTTCGACAGGCGAATGCGCCTTGGCATTTAACGCGCGTCCGCTACTGATTGGGCGGCTGCAGTCGCGTCGTCACCCGCTACGAAGCGGCGCATCCGCTCAGCTCGGCTTTATCTCGGCTCCGCGTCGCGTCGCGCTGCATCCAGACAAACGTGCCCGTCGCCCGCTCGTTAGCGTGACTTGGCTCTTCGACCTGCCTCGGCTCGTTTCGGCCGGCCTCGGCCTGGGCCGTGGCGATCCGCATAATGTCCAGCATCTGCAATTCGGCGCCTGGAGTCTCGCGACCGTGATTTTTCGCCTCGAAAAAAAGAAAATGTCACTCTCCAATAATGTAGATTACTTCCGGAAACTTGGATCGGAGTAGAAATAATTGTGTAATTTTAACGATGCTTTATATCGGCGGGACAGGTAGATTATGATAGATTTATTTCATAATTATGTCATTAATATTTATATAAATGTCGCGAATTAGTAGGATCGAGGCTGTCGGGTACTTAGATAGACTTTGGATACTCTGATTAAATTGTCGTGTCCCATTAAATCAATTGAGCGTTACGCGCGAAAATACATGCTCCACTGCGCGCAGCATCTGTACAAATACAAGTTAATTTTGTTCATTAATAGGCGCGAAGTGGAGACGGCGGCACTTCTTAGCACTTCTAGACCGTTCCCCTAGTAACCTTGTTCCGATCTTGCTTCGTGATTCGCATTTCTATTAATAGTAGCTTCGATCGCGAAATATCCAAGGACCTGCCGATGTGCGAAGGATTCGCGAATTGATGCGTCTGTCGAGCAGTCGTCAAGTCAAGATTTAAATGTCACGCTGACAGAGCAATCGCGTTATCTAAAATTTATCTTGCCCAAGAAGTGTAAGATCACGAGATCAAATTTATATATAAAGAGAAAAATGTATACTGCATTCAAGTAAATATTATTTATTTTAAGTATATCATAAGTTTTTATATCCGCAAATATATCAAAAATTCATCACAAGCATTAAATTTAATTGAATATATTTTGAATTTTAGTAAGTGCTGAGTATATTTTAAAATTATTATCAAGAATATTCTTTGTTGAAGAAAAATATTACTTAAAAAAAGAAAAGTAAACTGAGTAATTGCTTTCTTGGCAGTAGAATATTTTATTAGTAATCGCTTTCTTGGCAGTAGAATATTTTTCTCTGTGCATGAATCTACGAGGAAAAACTGCACAATCTCAAGGAAAAATTCACGATATCCTGACAAACATACGGAAAAAATACGGATATAAATTTGCTTTGTTTTAAAATCCGGACGAGAGATTTTCGCGTGATATCTCGACGTGTACACCAATTTTTGATATCCAAGCGATTCGGAGGAAATTAATTTTCTTCAAACTCGACGTTTTTCTCTCTTTCGCGACATCAGCGTTTTCATAAAGCGTATCCTTCGTGCGCAATTTGACTGCGCGCTATCTTCGCCGTATAATCTCACGATCTCTCGTCTGAGCTTCTCCATTTTGTCGCATTTTCCGCATTTCTCTACATACTTGTCTTCGTCGCGTCGCGTACTAATCAGCGCCCAACTTGAAGTAATCTGTCGGTGTGTCTCATATCAGTTTCCGCCTAGTCGGCAAATACAAAGAGCTGAAGGAAAAGGGAAAATCCCCGTTAGTCTACATCTACCCTTGTCTTCGGAACGTTTCGGATTAATAATACCGCGTTGGATGTGAGCTCAACAGCTGAGCCAGTCTGCGCACCAGCATGATTTCGAGATAAAGTTATACATCCTCGCTTAAGACTGCTACTCTCGCGAAACTTTGAATTTAAACTTAACTTGAGAGGAAGTAGTGAACAGTAAATGAATAATTGCTATATCTCGACAATCGAAAATTAGTCGTTGAAATTATGTACTTTCTCCAAATTGATTAGAATTTTGAATCTCATATAATTGCAACGAGAGATTTATCATTTGAAAAAAATAACTGTCGAATTCTGAAACTTATAATTTTATATCAATAATGAACGCTGCGAATTTAGCGATCCTTGTAAATTACGACTCTAAATTCAATCAAAACTTTACTGTAAAATCAGTTTTCTGACAACTTTCGATATGTTAGTCGTTCAAATACGGTGAATCAGCGTATCTATGATCAGTGATATCTACGCGACGCGGTAGCGAGCGACAATGCAGTTGATAATCCTTCGGCATGCAGGTATCACGATCAATAGTAGACAGCGATGTTGGGTACTAGATACGCAAAGGCGGACAATAGCGGCGGTTTGCTCTCGGTGCGCTCTATACAGAGTATCTGATCCAGTATGTGAAGCATATATAAGCCAGATAGGTATGCCTCGGCATCATCGCGGATAATGCAAGCATGCGTCTGTCACGTACCGCTTCGTCGATTCGTCGTCTCGACAACTGATATTGCGGACCGTCTCGAGTTTGCAAGTTAAAATTCGCAAGAACGGCAGCTCTTAATATCTATATAATATGTATTCATTCAAATTTATGTAATTTATATAAAAAACAAGTTCGATACACGTACACGTAGAAATTTTTAAAATAAGAATTAGAGAGATAACTATTTTTATATAAGAAATATATAACATCACGTATACAAAAATATTAGCAATCTGAATAAGATGATTTCATGTTGCAGAAATAATTTCTATTTCGTGCAACAAAAGTGTATATAAAGTGTGTATTTTGCACTTTGAATGTTGCTTTAGCAGCACAAATGTGCACTGACTGTATATTCTATAAACGTCAATTAAATTTAAATGAATAAACGGAGAGTCCTCTGTGTATCTATCTATCTATATATTTATATATCTATATATATCTATATATATCTATATATATCTATATATATATATATATATATATATATATATATATATATCCAGATACACCTGGTAACAGGCAACCATCATCGCATAAGCGTATTAACGTATAATACCCAATAGGATAAAGAGATATGTGCTATTAGGTTTTGCTATTAGGTTTCTATTAGGTATTAAATTACTTCTTCTTTATTAATGAAATATAAATGAATAGCGTGCGTTATGTAAAAATGAAGCAGGCATAATTTCGAAAATAAAATATTTTAAAATATTTTTTAACACCTATATTTATATTAAATATATATTTAATATAAAAGTATATTTTAAAATATCTTATTCAAAATCATTCGGTGCTTTCTTTCTTTCTTTCTCTCTTCGATTAATAGAATATAGCTTTCATTAGAAATTTCCAGTTTCATTAATTCAAAAGGTATAGTAATTGACAAGAGTAACTTGATACATCGGGACAAAACAAGGTACCGGAACATTAGTATTAGCATTAGCACTTGGCGTTATCGATCTGCCAATCAGTAATTGCAATATCCGCAATATTGTATGTATAAACAAGAGCGCCGCGTACATTCGTCGCGATATCCCCGGAGAACATCCTGTGGATTTTCATGGAGTCATCTCTATGCAGATTGCGCTATCGCTATTCGCAAGACCGATACAATCGCGCCAAGATGCGACGTGCCCGAGAAACTTGACTAAGTTTAATAAGATTAAGCGGCACGAGTTGTGCGCGCCAAGTTGCGGATTAACAATGTCGTGAGTAATGCATATTGATCGACACTTTAGGTGGGCTCGTCGCTACCCGTTACTCGCCTATCGAAACTAGCCTAGTTATAGCTTATAAATACGGAACGCATCGTGAAATATTTTTCAGATGTCTCCCTCTCTCTCCCTTTCTTCCCTTAATTTTACTACTATTTTACATCTTATATTGTTGTTATTGCGATAATTATAATTATTCATGAAGACATTTCCTCGACAGATTAGATTGTCGTGATTTGCAATCGAAATGTCGTTTATCAATGATGATTATCTTACGAATATTAAACACCGCTTATCGTCCAACTGTTGCTATTATCGAGTGATAAAGATAAAAATGATAAAGATAAAAATAATTATTTTATGTATTGTATCAGGGAGAGGGGGAATAATTTATATAAAAGAATAATTTATTTACATTTTCAAAAATATTTTATATTGACAAGTCAATTAATATTAATAGGCAAATTATACATTTCTTTTGCAAATTATTTGCGATAACTTGAAATAATGAAATGCTTATATCATTCTCATCTTTAGCATTTAGTTTCTCATAATTATGAGAAACTAAATGCTAAAGAATATAAAAAAAGATTGTATTAAAAATTTTGTATTAAAATACTATATCAAAAATATTATATTAAATAGACACTCGGTGATTCAAATGTAAATAATTCATGCTTTATTTTGAAGTACAAAATAATGAATATTCGTTAAAATGACAAAGATTAATTAAGCTGCGCATTCAAATCATCGAACCATTGTATTATGGGCAACATGGCGTACTTTGGTCGTGGAATACTGTTATTCCATTCGTCAATTTTCGCACCGAAAATCTTTATGGAACGTTCCTCAATGGCTACCAATACGCATTTTCGGAAAATTACTGTGACTGCCTTAACCAGAATATTTAAAAGACGATCCAAAATATGACCCTCAAATTTGATGTCGTATTTTCTACGAAAAAAAACAAAAGTATTATCAAAGTAATTATGCATGATATACATATATAAAATTCTAATAACTTGTACTTAATTATAAATTGAATTAAATTCATGAAAATATAAAATTAACTTGTGATTTAATTTTTTAGATCAATATTTCATGTTTATATTTTTGTTGAACGCGAATAAAAGTGAGATATTTCACTTTTGTTTCATCTAGATTCGAAAATCAATAATAAGATGCGATCTATAAGAATTAAAATAAAGACAATAATTTTTACAAAATGATTATTGTTTTTCGATTAATCGATGATTATCAGTTTGCAATTTTAGATATCGCATTGATTATTATCTGCTTGCCATTTCAACCCTGTTCACCTGCTCAATATTGCAAATTTACCGTCATCACGAAAACAACTCACTGTATGTTATCATCGTGAATCAATACAATGTGATTTATGGCATCGAGAAATGATAAATATTTCATCGCGTTCAATATTTCATCGTATCAATCTTTTCCTTTTTCGTACATATCTAAGCGTGAAAAATACAGAGAAAATGTAAAAATAATATTTACCTGACATCCGAGAACTTAATGGAATTTAGCTCTATATAATATTTAGCTAAATCGATCGTTAACGAGACATTAATATCGAGATCGTAGAAACGACTAAATACATCGCCATGCCTCGTAAAAAAGAGATATTTTAGATAATATTCATAGGTACACTGAAAATTATACAAAGAGAAGTTAGTTTAGATACATATACTTTGTTTTTGTCGCCATGTTTCAACATTAATTGGCATTATTTTGTGTCTGTTTCATTTTCTTACATCTAAAACGTCAAATCCCAAATCCATATCTAATGTTAAAAGTTTGTCCTTATAGATTCCAATTATGTGATTCGTGCGTCTTATCGTCGATAAGTTTTGTAACCATCCTTTCTTGAGATCGACGCTTCCTTTGAACGCTCCAGGCTAAAATGTTATTTCGATATACATACATATATATATATATATATATATATATATATATATATAATCTCTTTCAAAGATACACATATTTCGATTTATCTCTAGTTTTTATTGAAATTAGAAAATACGATAATTAAGAGAAAAAAGAATTTACTATGTCAGTTGAATAATTACTTACTAAATGTGGGAAAATACTTTCGGAATAATCTCCTAATTGAGTAGGATCTAATCCATTCTTTAAAATAAACGTACGAATTGCCGGTAATAGCTTATCAATTTTGTCATCAAGGACCACTTTTTTTTCTTCACCATTTACAGAAATGAGACTATACAATACAGAAATGTGCACTTGTCAAACGCTTCATTTATATCTCGTTCAAATCGAATTAAAAGTCATAGTTTTAACTAACAATAAGATAACTTTATAATAATAATATAAAAATTTCGAAAAATGTAGGAATGTTTCAAAAAATGTAGAAATACATTTATCATTAAATTAATTGCAATTTGAATGATATTAAAAATATGGAAAAATTAAATCTCGTTCTTTACAAGATATTTTAGAAAATTCAGTTGCATAATAAACTAAGAAAATTATGTAAAACTGTAATTTATTAATATACAATTATTAATGTAAAACCGTAATTTATTAATATACAAACTTACAAACTATGCTTAGCTACAGATTTGCCGTATACCAGCCCTATAATTGCGAGGATAAAAATTAATTGCATTTGACTGGCCATGATTACACTGATAATTCAACTACTGGACGAGTTTACAATTTCTTCTATTTTTATTGACAATCCCTGCCACATGTCAGAGACTGATTATGCCTTATCGATTTGATAATTTTACGGATTAACTTCAATCAGAAGCGATAACATGTATCTAATTAGATATGAAGAATTTTTGTAATCTGTAGGTTTTTTCTCCAATTTGTTTATAATAAATATATGCCATATAGATAGCTATAGATTAGCAATAGAAATCTCAATATATCAATGGAATAGGGAAAAATTTTAAGAAAATTAAATTTTAAGTAAATTTATAGATAAACACACATACCACATATTTAAAAAAGTAATGTATTTAGAGATACATAGAATATAAAAAATATATACAAACAATATTGTATTAGAAAATAACAATTTGATGTTTATTCACTAGGTTTTGATTCAACAATTGATATTTTAAAATATATGTTAACATTTTGCGGGGAGCGATTTTATGATTTATCTCATTAAAATATTTTCGAATTTCATTCGATGCTTCCTCTTGAACAGAGTTCGTAATCGTTTCTTTAAAGAACGGAGTTACGATATAGACGATAGCTGTATTTATCCAATCCACCGATCCATCTTCATTTTTGATAGTTACCTTAATGTGACTACAATAATTAAATATTGAGTAACTATATATGTATGAAAGATTTCATAATATTGATAGTAATAATAATCAGAAAAATATATAATCTATATTTAATATTAATTTTACAATTAACAGAAATTACCTAGGAACCTGTAAGTGAAATTTGTCGAGGGTCAAAGTGTAATCTGTTGTATTAAATGTGATGTTCATTATAGCGCGTACATTTTCCGTTAAAGCTTTAATGTGACCCTTAAGATTTCGAAAGATTACTTTTGCAACATAATCATATGTTCCCTTGAATATAAAAACAAGTTACTTGCGCGATTAAATATTATAATAACACTACTGTAACAACAAATATATATAATGCTTGGAAACATATAGATTTAGTTAGCAGCTCATCTTACATTGCTCTTTGAGCTAAAAATCAAGAATAGAAAAATTGAATTACCTGTAAAAGTTTGAATTCGAAACCAACGTCCAGCTTTAATAACCTGTCTGCATATGTTAATGTAGCGTTATTCTGACGCTTCAAATTGGACAAACCTTTCAATATTCCCGATTTTAAAATGAGGTCGATTTTGTACATCATCGGTTCGGAAAAGTTTGGATTTTCCTAGCGACAAAATTAGCCATGCTTTCACATTTCTATCTTAATAAACTGTTATAGTAAACCGTTATAATTCGTTAATAATTCGTGTAATAATTCGTTATCGTGAGAAATTCGAACATTAAACACTTTTTATCTCAATCTAACGAAAGAAAGCACGTATAGTTGAGCAAGATGCATTACGTTTAGTTGCTTATCGCCGCGACTGCATTATCTGCAAACGCTTGCTATGTGAAAACATCAATAAGATTCCATAATTCCCGATTGCAAAATGAGATTGACTTTGTATATCGGCTCAAAAAAGTTCGGATTTTTCTAGCGAGAAATTAATCACGATTTTAACATTTCTATCTTAAAAAAATCATAATAATTAGCGTAATTCGGACATTATTCACGATAATAAATTACACTAATTATTATAATTTTTAATTCTAATTTTAACGAAAGAAAGGATATATTTTTTAATTCTAACTTTAACGAAATAAAGGACGTATAGTTGAATAAGAAGTGTTTAATTGCTTATCACCGTAACTGCATTATCTGCAATGCAAATTTGCTCGCTTAAAAACATCAACAAGATTCTTATAATGTGAAACCGAAAATACAATGTATACTTTATCAGATGTGTTTTACAAACACAGCTCTCTTGAATTCTCACACAGTGGCGCAATTTAACATTGTCTCACGCACGCTTAAAATGAAGAGTAATCAATCTAATTTTTACAACATTAATTTATACAACATTTTTGCACGAATATTTCAGATGTGATCACTCAATAATAAATTAATTATTGATTAATTTAGTTTCAATACTTATATATATGATAACGCTCTGTAAAATTAATACAATTTTCAACATTATAAAATAGATTTTATTCATAAAGTACTATGCAATCCGGAAACAGTTTAAGCATTTGCTCTTGTCGAACAACGGCATTGAACTTGAGCTCATGCTCGCCTTCTACCGCGATCTACCGGGTGAAACCTCGGTTTCACTCTCGTCCAGGTTTACTCGTTAACCTTCGTCAAAAATGAGATCGGCGAAAACGAGGCGAAGGATGACCTCGGCGTTTGACCATGGTACACCGTGTACCAAGGTCAACGCTGGAAAGTGTCATCGGGATTCACTCTCGCTCTCTCGTACAAGGCCCAACTCTTCGATTTCGCTTTCTACGGTCCCGAGGTTAAAGCGTGCGCGCACTTTCGCACCGCGACCCATTGACCTCGAATCCCAGTTTTACCCCCGAAACCCAGCTTTCTCCCGATTTTCGAGCCGACCTCTCACGATTGTGAGCAAACGTCTGCGTTTATGATAAATGATTCCGACATGAATGACTGATTTCTCACTGTCGTCGGCGGATTCACACGCTCTCGATTCATTGAATCTTTATTCAGCGAAAAAGAATATTTATTAAATACGTTACGACAAATGTGTATTTGCTGTTTAATCAAGCGGTTGGTATAAATAATATAGTAAGTTAATTAGACGATTTTGTGATTTAATTAATAAGTAAATTTATAACCATTTTATAACTTTTGTTCCTGAAATATGCTGTGTTTTTACGTACCATCCTTAATTTTCGCTCAACTTGTGGAAGTTTGAGTGGATCTAGGCCATATTTCTTGATAAATTGGGCAATAACAGGATTGAAACGATCCACAATATGATTTATATTAACATTCCAATTCTTTTTCTCGGTAATATCCCTACAATTATTAAAATTTTATATTTATATGATTTTAGACTTTTTATTTTATATGATAGACTTCGACTAGAATAAAAAATACTGAATTATAACAAGTGAATTAAAACGTTATACAATTAAATAAAAAATTTATAAACAACTAAATGATTATTCTGACTGTACTGCATATATTTAGAAAGAATAACTTTTAAGATTTGAAGGAAATGTTTAGTTTTGAAATATAATAGAAAATTTGCCAATAATATCAATAGTAATATGTAATAATTACAAATAAAATGTGTTATTGTGTGCTCACCAAGTTTCTACCTCGGCCAAAGTCCGAGCGATAAGCATTACGACAATATAAATGAACTTCATGGCGATTTTAACAAGACTAGATGAATTTCTTATAGACACACTGCTCTTATAAATTTTTCACATAAATCAGATTCAGACTATCGTATAAGCACATCGTTGATCGTTTATCTCGAGACTCATCAATCAAAATAACACATTTTTTCAATCTTTTTATCATATAGATACTTTAATACGCAATAACGAAACAAAGAATATTATCGAAGACATATAATGTACATGCGATAAAATTAAATCGTATCAATGAAAAGAGACATGTACGTGTACAAAAGAAAAATGTGCCTGATTAAAAAATTCACAAAATCGGAAATTTTATTTATTGTGGTCATTAAAGTTATAAAATAGCTTGAGAAAAAATGTTATTTTATATAAAATTATATTTTCAATCATTTTAAAATATAAAAAAATATCAAAAAATATCAAAAAACATTTATTTTTATATATCTTATTACTTTATATTTAAAATGTGTTAATAAAATTAAATAAAATTTATGATAAAAAATTTAGAACATACAAATATACATGCATACAAATATAACACATTTATTCTTATTATATTTATAATTTCTATATTTAATATTAAATGATTATCCTAATTTTAAAAATTTTTTATTTTATTGTGCCTCCCCCAAAGTTTTTTATATTTTAGAATGTTGAAATCTTAGTTAAAATATTAAAAATTGCCTAGTTATGCTCATACTGATATATCAACATTTATTCATTTGCTTGTCCATTATCATTTTGTTTTTAACGAGATAAAGTCAATTTCTACTTCCGAAAGATTCTCGATGTTCGTTATCGACATAGAATTTACCTTGTTTCGTGGCGCTCTCTGTAATATAAATCTTAATATAATATTAAGGAGGCAAACTGTATTATCTATTTGCACTCACAAAATGTATATAATATTCAAATAATCCATATTTGATTTAAATGACACATGAACATTATGTATATATTTGTTATTTGCAATGCGATTCTAATAATGCTGATTTCGATGGAAAGAACTTCATTTTTTATTTCAAAATGTCTAGTAAAAAAATAATAGACATTTTAATTATGCAATTTTTAAACTGTCCAATACTGTCTTATAAAAAATTATCTATAATTCCTATAATATTATTTAATATATTTTTCTATATATGTTACCATTTTCTTTCTATATTATTATATTTTATTTTTTACATTATTACGTGAATATTATTAGGATAACTTTTACTGTTTCGAATTGTTTTTCACATATATGATAAAATCTTTATATATGTATATATTTTTATATGTATACATCTGTATCTTTACCTAAACCGAGCGAAATGTAGAAATTTATTCCTTAATTATTTTATTATATTTTATTAGCATTGCAAATTAAAATGATAATTTCGCAATTATTATTTATACCTTGATGTTACTTATAATTCACTAACAACATTTTTTTATCTCTCCTCATATTTCTATCATGTTACTATTTATCGTCTTTTAGATTCTTGGTACGGACTCAGTGACGCACTCAGTGCAATCACGAGTGTGAAAAACAATCTTGTTTGTCAGCCCTGGCGAATTTGTCCTCGAGAAATCAGTTACGATAGACCAATCGCAGCTCTCGAAAGAATGGGTGTATATCATGACGTCTATTTAATTACGTTTCAAATATGAAATCTGATGCGTAGGATTTAAACACCGATTTAACTGTAAATACACGCGGTCAAAACAAAGTAATTGAAATTTGTACATGTGTATATATATATATATATATATATATATATATATATATATCCTATAATAATACGGCGTAATACACTCTTGATTGGATTATGTATTCAACATCTTACGTTTCACTTTATAATTTCAATAATTATTTTATAATCAATACATTTTATAATCAACATAATAATCATCATTTCATTAACTCTCACTTCATATTTATTACCCTGATAAAATTTTATTATCAATATCAATTTATATCGAATATTTGTGCTGCAGAATATTTCACTTTTTAATTTCAAGTTTAATTTTAAATCTAATTCGCTTAAATTGCTAAATATTATTATATTAAAAATTACTTTGTATTCAAATCGTTAAAACTCCTTCAAATAAAAATACAGGTGAAAAAAGAAAATTTTCCACGCGCTTGTTCCAATGACATACTTCCCAGCTGTTCAAACAACACGCGAGAAAAAGAATTCGTTCGGGTAATCAAGGTTTCATTATTATATGAATCGCAATGAGAAGGAAGGAGTGCAAGAGCTCAATGCTTTCTCCTTCTCGCGGTTGAACGATTGCGGTCGTTGAAGAGAAAACCGCGGGTCGGGCACGCTTTTATTGTTCCAGTTTTGCCTTCGGGATGTTCTTGCGGTCTCGCGTACAAAAGCCGTGGATACACGTCGGCTAATATCACCATTCGCTCTAGGTCAGTGACCTCGCGATGGCTCCCACGTGTGACGTAACACAGACCATCTGCTGTCAGAAAGGGATATCGCGAGAAAGCTTGATACCGCGCGACCGCCAACGCACTCTCGAGGGAAGAATAAACGGACTTAGTTAGGGTGAAAGAGGCGAAAGACGAAAGAAGAAAAACGCGATAGACACATAAAAGATATTTTTGCGGAAACTCGTATTAAACGAAAAACTACACAATATTTTAAATGAAGAAAATCGTTCCGAAATATCGTTCCGCGAGACTAAGAACGATAACATCTTACGTTATATACGTATACGTAAATATATGATAATAAAATGAATATTGAAAAGAGGATTTTATTTTCATCAGATCAAAGTGACAACTTGGAAATAATATTTTGATATTTTGTCATCAATGTTCAAATTAGACGTACCTCTCTAGCAGCTGATACATCATAATGTCAGATCAGAGTTTTTAATAATTGATGAGTTAATTAAAAAGAGATATGTCACTTATCGCCTTATAATATGCTCTTTTAATACGCTACGTCTGTCACAAATATATATTGTTTCTATGAATCGATTAAAAAGCTATTAAATATCAATAAATATATATGTATGATAGAATTATTTTCCTCTTTTCTTCACGCAAGTTTTTGTATTACGCAGTGGAGATATACGCCAAGCAATAAACGGTCAACAATTCTCGCATATATTTTCGTATTATCAGATGTTCGTGTGTAATGACGAATATTGTAGTATGTCGTAGATAACACGTCGCTTTACTCGTCATTGTGCACGAATGTTGATAAAACCTATAATATCAACCTTTAACCTTCTTACCAATGCTTATTGTTAGTTTGATACAATAAACGAAAAAGTCAATGTACTGTTTCGATTAATTATGATTACAATGATTAAAATGAGACTGCATAAATCGATGAATTATAATGCGATATTTGTGTGATTCTTTTTAATATGCAAACCATATCTTTTGACATACATAAAAAAATAAAATTACATTTTTTAAAAGAATTATATTTTTTTCGTCATAAATTCATGATATTTTTTACAAGTAATTTTTATTTTTCGAAGAAATACATAGTAAAAAGAAAATGTATACATATTAAAAGTAATAAAAATATTTAAAATATTTGATTAATTACTTAAAAATTTTGAAAAATTTTTTAGTAAACTAGAATCAACATTCTCTCTTTCAATCAAATATTTATTTCGATAGATAGCATAATTAGCTGATGATTTGATAATAAATGATATTGTGCGAATCATTAATATGAAATACTGCTAATCTGTCGTATGCAAATTTTAACAATCAACTTGAGCGAAACTTTCATGTTACTATTATGCAACGAGCGCACAATGCAGCAATATCTTTTTAAAAGACATGCTTTATTCCTTCGCAAAAATCGTAATTTTTTCCTTATATTGTATCGAATATATCGACACATTTGAAACTCGAAAATCGGAAACATTTCTCAGAAGAATTAAGAGTCCTGTATCTTTCATATTACTGCACAATATGAAAAGATAATCAAATAAAAAATCATTTCTTGATTAAAAAGTATTAAAAAAAACGACAAGAGTTTAATCAATTAGCTACTCTATCGTGTTTCTATTTATGACTCAAAAATATACTAGTTGCTTTAAGAGTTATTTTTTAAAAATATAAAATTGTTTATGATATATTACACGATAAATTTTAATCACAAAAATGTTATTTATGTACACATCACGAAGTTATTTCTCGAGACGTGATTTTAGGCCATTAGGACATGTTATTAATTTGTTTTTTAAGCTGAATCAAATTAATAAGAGACGTATAATATTTTTCAATTCAATTACTAATATAATAAAACTAGGAATAATATCATATTAAAAAGATATAATATATAAAACAAATACCATTCTCTAGACAAAAAAGTTTTATTTAATTTTTCGAAGAAATTTCAAGTACATAGCAATATATTAAGAGAAGTAACGTAATAAACTATTTTTTCAAGAATTTTTTTTGTACAAGTACTATTGTTATTTTTTCTAATGAAATTTCTAAGTGAAAAAATACATTATCTCATATCAATATTTACTTCGAAAACCTATGAGTACGTTATACCTACTATGTGAGCATTTTTCGACACGTTTAATATATGTATGATGTAACATTTAGTGAAACTGCGTTAATTTGTTAGATAAAATGACGTAACAATAAGCGAAGGATATTCGTCTGCTGAAACGCAATTATTGGCCGATCGTTGATAGCGTGAGCAGCATACAAATATTTTTCGGTGACACGATGCTTTTAATCTAGGCCAATGGTCTTTACGCATTTTACTCTCTTACATCGAGGCAAAAGAGGCTTGGCCGCTGGTCCGATCCGAGAGGACCAATCGCCGAGCTCTTTTCAAACAAAAACACATCGCGTGGTTTCTCTATCTCACATATACACCTGTCATCGAGTGCGTACACGCATGTGATTCACAAAGAGATTAATACGGTTGTCTGTAAATAAGGAACTTTTAGTTCCAACATGCAATCTTGAAGAATGTGTAAAAAATATAAAAGCACGCATTATATATGTTATAAAATATATTTAAAATAATTTAAACATATTTTCAATTCTTTTCTCTCTCTCTCTATCTCTCTCTTTCATCAAAAGATTATATGTTAGAGAAGAATTTGAGATAAATGTTTTTCTGTAATTATTTGGAAAATATGCTCGAGAAATAGCCAAATGTCATAAGTTGATAAGATACATGTTGTTGATGTTAGACATTCATTTAAAATTAAATGAAAATTCGCGGAAATCGAGATCCGATTAGAGTCATAAACTTAAAACGTCATTACACGTGTCTATTCCGAACACCCTGTACACAGCAAGTATATATTCTCAGACAGTTTCCGTCACGACGATAAACTTCGGACCGCGCTCGCCTGCGATTCAGTTTGTTTCAATCGCTCGTACATGTCGGACGTATTCACGCACCGCACACACGCTTGTACACACACGTGCTAGTCACATACACGTACACACACGCTATCCACGGAACTGTGTATATATACATACGCGTATACATCTGTGTGTATACATACGTATACAGACGTATACACACCAATTCCGCGATTAGTTCATGTTGATAGACTTTGGAACTGTTTCTTCAGTCAAGCATAGTCAGTCAAACTACTCGAACACGGCGAGTGTTATTTATTCGTCCTCAAGGCAGATTCAGCATGCTAAAAAAGCTCGAAAGTGAGGAGCGTGGTCGTCGATCTCACTGAACTTCGCATTCACGTGCTCGCCGAGAAGCGTCTCACGTTTTGACACTTCGTTACGCTTTTCTCGCGGTGAGTAATATGATATTTTATTTCGTCACTTTATAAAAAGTTTCATACTTTTCAATTTAACATGGATATAGCAATTCCTTCAGGAATTTGAAAATTTCAGTTGTGTTTTTACAATGGAATTTGAAGTATTGAAATTAAGCAAAAAAGTTGAAATTTATTACAGTAAGTTTAAAGTAATTTTTCTTGTTTTTTCCTAGTTTGTTTCGATTATATATTATTCTTTAATTAATTTCAAAGTGATACTAGATTTTATACGATAAATTTTATTATTTTACGGCATTTCTACATTCGTACTATTACATTCGTAATATATTTGTTTTTTTACTTGCTTCAGAATATAAGTTTTGTTGGCACAATCGTTTAAAATTATTTATAGGATTACAATTTATATGTTTGTGTATATATTATTTACTATATATCCTTTCTACACGTGATCTTGAATAGATAAACAATCTGTTTGCTATTTTGTTAGATTCCTGAATATTGTGCCATAGAATATGAATGTGAATAGTTTACAAAACAATTTGTGCATCGTGTATATACTTTGATAAATTTTGAAATCCTTTCTTTTTTTGTCTCTTCTTTTTTCTTTTTCATAATCATAAGGAAAATGAAAAAAGCATGATTTTCAAATGCAATAAATAATTTCATATTTAAATACAACTTTTATAATACGAATGCTAAATGTACTATTACATACTGATTTTTTATATCACTCATTAAAAACTTAATATTTATCGCTTTTTTTTTCAAAATTGTATCAATCAGAAATATATTATCGGAAGATATACAATCGCCATATTAATTGTTATTTTAATAACTTTTAAAAGTCACACATTTAAAACCGAAAAAGAAATATCGATAGAAAGAAATTTGTTCATTCGTCACTGTTATATTCTAGCATATATAACTGTGGTTATTTGAATAAACCCATTTAAATAATTTTGCATATACCTACATATATGTATGTATGATTCAAGCTTGGAGGCATATATTATTAACTGTTACTTCGAATGTCGAGCTAACGTTACAATAAGATGTTAAAGATTAAAGCGGAAGCAATTTATCTGATTATAGAAAAAACCCGTTTATTAAATGCGCGAATTTATGCTGATAGCATTTCTTTAAAAATGGATATTAATAAATAAGATTACATATTCATTAGAAATACAACATCACCTATGCTACGCTTTTTTATTTAAATTTAAATCTTTAAGAAATATGTCACGAGTCAATATAAAATTTGAATGAATAAAAAATATACGAAAATTTATATATGAAAGAATTTCTTTAAATTATTCTGATTTAAAAAGTGGATAAAAAACGACATTTTTGATGATATTCAAAAGAAAAATTCGTCACGGAGGAAGTTATGTAAATAACTGGACTAATATCGCGGTCTATTATAGCCACTACACGCAATTTATCGCATCACTATGCGAGCTTTGATTTCGTCGAAGCTCGTCATTCTGGTCTCGATGACACTCGAAGTGCGCGGACACTCGAAATTCGATTCGATGACGTCAGGATTGATGAAAGTCACATGAGATATGAGGGAAAACATGTTTACAGATTATTGCTTAACAGTCGATGTTGACTATCGTGTTGATCATTTTGCGTGGTAATAGATAATGACGCGCTATTGCAATGAGTTATATGTAAACAGAAATGCAAGAAACAGACATAGAAGTAATATATGATAGAAAAAAAATCAATTCTACTGCCTTTAATTTATTTAAAAAAATTGCGAATATATGTATATATAAATTGCATATATTAAATTATTTTAAAATAATTGTAATGTAGAGAATATTTTGTTAAATTATATTTAACAAGTTTAATAAGAAATTGTTCTTAATAAATCGTGTATTTCTGATGAAATGATTCTTTGTCATTGTTATATCATTTGATATGATGAGAGATTGTGATATAATAATACACGTATTTTCATGCAGAAAAGAAATATGAATAGACAAGATCAAAGGATGTTCTCGAAAATGAGAATCTTCTTGTGAATGTGCCTATTGCATAACGTTTTCATTGGTTGCGTGTACGTGCAATGGCAGTGGCTTCGGGGAAACTAGCTCCGTGTTTCCTGTGCTTTGATCTTATTTCGGTGAGAGAAGCGCTGAATCAACGAAGCTCAAGGCTAGAGATATATCAGACTTTGTACCCCGAGATGTCTGGGTCGAAAGAAGATGTAGTTCGTATAAACGAGACACAAAGAAAAGATTGGCGCATTTAAAAATATAAATTTTATTCATAGACAGCTAGAATATTTAAAAAAAAATTAATAGTTAATAAGACATTAAAAAGATTATCATAAATTTCAGAATATTTAATATTGTATTATATTTTTAGACTTAATATCGAATAATGAAGTTTCCGCATTATTGAACATCTTTTAAAATCTTCTTTCTATTCTTTGTTCTTTATTTTAAAAGTTAAATTTTTATTGTATCTCGTATTCTCGAAATTGATGACTGTTTTCATCAGCAGAAATGCTCGAAAATAATCGCAAATCCACTATTGTGTATTCAGTGCCAGGTCCATGGCCAAACAAATTCACCTGGATGAAGGCCAATCGTCATCGTTCAAATATTCTACTTTTAAGTCGTTGGTCAGCGATGTCGGTCACGCGAATTCATTTCTCAAAACAACAGGTCTCGAGATCGATAATTGTATATCGCATTAATAACATGACATATGCCATATGAGCGAGGAATAGTCTCAAAGTGAAGACTAAACGGTACAATAAACTAGAGAATATAGGCTACAATATCAAAGTAAGTCAGCGTGAAATTGTGAATATAATCTAGATTCTAGAGCAAAAATAGAAAATAAATCAATGAAAAAAGGCTCATTTTATATTTAACACAAGTGCATTTGGATCACATAAATCTACTTTATGTAGCGCGAATTTTTAACATTAGATATTATTAAAATAAGCATTGTTCCATGGAGAGATTTCTAATCGTTTTAATTTTTTCAAGAAATGAAGCAGCCAATTATATACTCGATAATTAATAGAGATAAATCTTAATTACATTTTTTACAATATTAATCTGCGAAAGTTACATTATCGTCATTTCACTAACAATAAGAGATTGAAAGTCGGTCTTGCGGACTTGTTAAACAACTTATTATTTTTAGAATTTTTACGAAAATCGGTCGCGAAGGCAATTTAATCGTAGCATAATTTTGATATAGATAGAATCGATAGAGAACAGTTCTCGACTTCATAATCGAATTATTTTCGTCGAGTATTGACATATTTGATAATCTCATATTGGATAATCTGTGCATGTACGATTAATATGTAAATTCGTATCGAATAACACAGTTGCGAATAAACTGAAGAAATTGCACTATTGACAAATTTGCACGTGTCTGTCAAAACGTCGCGCAGCTGCTTGGAAAATTAACTTGTCGAAAACACTGGTCTGTCCACAATAAACTCGGCGCGTGCGATTGCGATGTAAATCGAGGACGATTAATCGCGAGAAATATCGGTAACACACTTAATCATCGGTGCGTGTTTGCTGAATGATCGTACGAGATAACTGTCGCGACTATTAATTTCGCGATTTTGATAAAATGATCTTAATTAAAAGCATATTTCCCAACGTATCGCGAATTTTAATCTATGTTTATAGATATAGTATTGATTGCAAATATTAAAAACAATGATTGTTAATAAGTTGACTTCTTTCAAAATTAAAAAAAAGCTCGAGTTTCTTTGTTTAAATGTATAAAAAATATTTTATATAACTGTTTCGTAAAGTAAAAGAAACCTTTTGTCGAAGATAAGAGGTCGAAAAATAGAATTTTAACCTTCGTCATATATGTTGCGTGGTTTTGCGATATCTTTTTCACATTTTCTTTATGTAAAAAATGTGACTTTGACTAAACTTTGAACAGACGAGCTGACTCATGTATATCGAAGATAAAACGTACTTATTTTCATTGTTCTTTATATTTGCTAAAGAATTATTCAAAAATCTATTTCATAAAAAAAAATAAATGTCTCGTAATTATTTTTTTTATTTATAAAAATGAACTCCGTATATATTAGTTTCCAAAACGAAATTTTACTTCCGTTGTGGCATTGTTTGCGATAAATAATAAATAGTCTGTAGGATCTATAATTACAAATAATGATGAAAATTGCTGGAAACCACTCATTCAGATGATTAAATGACGATTTAACAATGATTTACATATGAGACTTCAAGGTTTTCATTTTGGCGAAGTTTTTCGAAAGATTCTTGGCTCTCGGCCGAATGCTTTGTAAAATCGTTGATATATTCGCGGTATCGAGAGACAGATAAGATTACGTAATAAAATTGTTGAAAACATCGCAGGTCAATGTACTGAAGTAAAAGAGGACATTTGAGAAAGTATATGAGCGACATTTATGATATTTGCTGATATCGATGCGAATTAAAAGCTTGCGTGACTATTGTCGATCCATTTAAGAGAACGATCGTTTATCTTTGTCATTTGGCCGCAGCTTACTCTCGTTCAGGCGATCGTCCAAGTATTTAAATTTGCGTTTCGTCTCGTTCCGAGAAGAGCACGAAATGTCATTTCATCGATCGTACTTTTAACGGATGATTGCTCGCGTAGGAGGAGGGGAGGAATAATTGATATAATCTGTGCAGTTACGGTTCGGTAAACATTTCGCAATTATTATTTTTCTCTATAAATAGCAATTTCGATTCATGAGATATCGATTCAGTTTGTTTTGGAATCGATCAATGTTGAACATTTTGTATTCGCGGCTATTAATAGAACTCTCTCTAAGTCCCTCCTTCCTCTATCGATAAAACGTTAACGATATTTGCACTTGTCATGTCAATGTCACGAAATAGACAGACATCACGTTTCTCTCTTTTGGAAAGTTCTGAATAATATATATATATATATATAAAATTATTTTCGTGAAATTTCATATATATATATATATATATATATATATATATAATATGAAATTTCACGAAAATAATTATATATATATATATATATATATATATATATATATAAAATATGAAATTTCACGAAAATAATTTTTTAGCTTTTTGAAACCAATCCAGAGCTGTCGAGTCTATGCCTTTATTTTTCCTTCTCTTGCAATTCCCCGTCTCATTACGCAAGATTGAATAATGTCAATAACACTCGTTTATGAGAATGTTCGTTCCGCGTTTTAATTTTTTAACAAAATGTTAGAATGTAATTGGAAAATATATTCTTCTAAGATAGATAATAATTGTTCGATAAAAATAATGATTATATTTACAAACTTTCTTATTCGGTCAGAGTGGGAGATCTCTCTCGTTATGAAAACGATAAAACGAGAGTTCGTACGAGGTTACATACTTTCTGGGAGAGCACACGATTAATGACTTTTATAGCTTTCGAATAAGAATCTTGAAGATTGAAATTTCAACCGTTGAACTTTCAAAAGACTGTTATATAATACATATAAAGAAAAAGAAGCAATTATATTTGTTATTACTACTCATTATCTAATAATATTATTGCAGTTTATTTTTTCTATGCTTCTCTACATAATTTTAATCAATTTTAAAAGAACTTTAAATTAGATTAATTTAACGCATGAGAATGATATATCCTTGGGACAAAATCGAAATGAACCACAAGCATTCGTTTATGCAAATGTCGTAAAAATGCATGTCAAATAAAAAAATTGTTTTAAACGAACGTAATTTTTTTTTACCAAGATTCACGGTACAAATCGAAGATTGTTCGCGGGAAGAGCAGTTTCGTAAGAGCCGATGTAGATGGTAAATAATTTATTACGTTACAAACAGAGAGCGTGCGGCAGATACAACCAAGTTATAGGCGTTTCACTCGCGCGTGCAACCTTCTCTTTTACGCAAGCCGCAAGAAAGTGATCGACCTTTTTGCGGCGTTATTATAGTTGCCAGACCAAGATAAACCGAGCTCTTGTCACATCGTTCGCTCGTTTGATTATGAGAATCGAAAATTGGCGGCGATTAATCGCTCTTTCTCGCATCGTTCGATGATAATTTTTTATGTGAATTTTACGCTTGGTCGCACGTTGAAATGTCTGGATCGGATTTCAATCGTTCCGTAATCGCTTACGTGTGCAATAATGACATAACTAATGATCGTTAGATATTTTATTCGATTATAAAATTTTAGTTACCGTAAAATATGTGGCGTTTATATCGTGAAAAATACGGAAATAAAATGATAAAAAAATGATTGAGAAATTTCACGCGGATATATCATTGCAATACGTGTAATTTGTGCATTCTGTATTGGAAAATACGCTTTGTCAAGAATATCGTCAAGTCAGCGCACGTATGGCGAAAGTCATCTAACAAATCGCTTGATAATCATTACATTATCCGAGGTAAACAACTCCTTTTCAAACATTCTTCTCAAACATTCTCATACTTTGATCAATAAGAGCAATAAAATGTTTTTAAATGTATGACTCACCACGCGACAGGATGCCTGCATATCTAGACTGCTTTTCCAGATAGACCTTTGAGTTGTTGTAGACGAGCGATCATCATCTGATTACGACAGATTCTTCGCTGTACAAAAAAGGATAGATGCCGTCATTAAACCTTGACAATGTCAGTTATGCGCAACTCTACACGTAAATACAAGTTGCATGAACAAAGTACAACGTACAGGATTTTTATATTGCTGCCTATGCATGATTTGACAATCAGATGGTTGCCAAGAGTATACATGAATACTTAGAAATAGATTCTCCTTTTCATTGTTACTTTTTATGGCGTATAATCATTACATATAAAAGTGGAATGTTGATTCACTGCCACGTAACATGCTAATGTTTTAAATAGGAAGTTAAACGTTTGAATATTAATTTTAATTTCAATTTCAATTTTTTCAATCTTAATTTTAAATAAGAAATTAATAATTAAAAAAAAATATTTAAAGAGATAATTTCCTATTAAATGAAAAATGTCTATTGTTAAATGAAGAAGGAAAGTTTTAATTAACTTGTTATATTATTTTTTTAAAGGCATAATAAATATCAAAATTTTTTAGTTGAATTTAAAATGTTAATAATTCATTTTTTATAGTATAATTTCATTCATTTTGAAATATTTTATATAAATGATGACAAATATGATAGATATAAAATAATTTAGAATAGAATTAAAAATAAAATTTATTAAGAATAATAAAAATTAGATAAATATAAGTGAATATAAGTCAATACTTCATCCGATTAAAATAGTCTACATGAATATAGAATCGTTAATTTTCTTTTGTATAGAATTGTATTAGAAACATAAAATAGATATATATTTTATGCTATTTTTAACTATAAAATTATGTCGAGGTAAAGACGAGAACGGAAATTCCTAGCGATCCCAGCACGTTCGTTTTGATTTTCTTTAAGTAGGTCGCCATGCAGTCTGCAGTGTTATTCATATCGAGTAAAAAAAGAAGATGTAGTATTATTTTTTTGTTCACAGTAACTGTAAAAAAAAATTGTCATGAATAGAGAAGACACACAATATATCTCGATATATAAATGTATTGATGAAAATAATGCAGTAAATTTTGCTTACGCAAATTGATGAAATTGCATTTAAAATTAAAATTTTAATAATCAGATTTTTAAATAACGATTTAAAATCATTAAAATTATTTATTTATAATTATTTATTATTAAATCACTCAATTAAAAAATAAATGTATTACTAAGATCAATATTTTTTTTAAATACCAAAAGCACCAAATATATCTTGCTATTTTTAACTTCAATATCGATAATTTTTTTAAGCAGAATTTTGATTATTTTTATCGAACGAAGCTAACAATTATGACCAAAATAACATAATCTTATCTATTGCAATTATCGCAAAATTTAGCTGCTCCCGAAAAACTTTCGACTTTAATCCGACAAAAACAAAGAAATTCATTGAAGATTAAAATATTTCGCAATTATATATATATCAATCATGTGAAATCTAAATCGTTCGAAATGTTCGTACGATTATTTGTCAGCTTCCTTCAAACACGATAATATCGTTGCGAACGATCGAAATAACTTATGACCTTACCTAATAGCCACTAATGGCGCAAACTCGTCCGATTCAAGCTCACACGTGTCGGATTTCCTCGAGGTAGGACTTCGACCGAGCTATACTGAACGATGGATGATAGCATCACATTGCCGGCTTCAGTCGTTATTTCATCGAATAATTTACTTACAGGTTAACGAGATTTTCAAGCGCGTTCGCGGCGAACATTGTTCGTTCGATCCGATCGGAACGAAATATTGACGAAAACTGTTGACGATTCAAATATGTTAGCCGCATTGATTTTTCTAACTCGCCTAAATTAACATCAATCAGTGCGCGGCAATTTCAAGATGTTCACATTCCTCTCGAAATACTACTTTATTCCGACTGATTTCTAACAGAATTAAAATTTAAATCTGCAAAATGTTATTATCTAGTCGAGATGCTCTTAATATTTCAAGATTAACTGTACTTTTTTTATTCTCGAAAATCATAATCGACCGTTTTTATTAATGTACATACGTCATTAACTGTCGTCATTAACGAAAAAACTCTTACCCTGATTTACTTGAAGTTATCTTATCGACGTCTCGCTTGTGATGTGAACTTGATCGATCGTCATGCGTGCTCGGACCAATGGCTCAGACAGATGAACAAATAAGCATGACGTTACGTTTCTTTGTTCCAGGAGTCCGTGCCGGTTCGAAACGCGCGCTAAAGCCGCGTCTACCGTCGTATCGACCACCGGGTGACAGCCGCGCCGATTGGCTCGGCCAGGATCACGTGGTCTCGCTCAACGTCAGTTTGGAGTACTGTCTGCTGGCGGTGCCAGGCGCACTTATCAACGTACGCTTGAAGGGAAGAGGAGAACAAAGGATCCGCGGAGACGGTTTCTCCGCTTTCCTCGTTCGAGTGCCAGGATTCTCTCGCGTTTTCACCATCTCGAGATCGCGTTAAGGAATTGTGTCTCTTCGATCGAAATTCGCGCGAACGATACGCACTGCGTCAAGTGTCCGCGACACTTTGACAGCTCGCTGTCGCGGTGACGGCGTCGTCGGCGGATCGTCGTCGAGTTTCATCGAACGGTGTCATCGGGACCGAAGGGTAGCGCGAAACTGACAGAGAATCGTCGACGAGGCGTCACGACTCCTCGACGCGAAACAAATCCGCGAGACGTGAATAATCGCGATCCTTCGGTGGCTCTTAATACCTCTTGCTCTCTTTTTCGCGCTAGAGAAAGAGAGAGAGAGGAATCTTTGAACCGAATACAGCCGCGAGTACGTCTGTACGCCGCGAATTTCAAATAGTATTCGAGTGATTTCCGCGACCTTTAGTGCCGCGGGCTTAGGACATGTACAGTATGAACTATATCGCCAAGATCATCAGCAATTTCCGTCTCTTCTACAACGAGATAAACGCCGCGACCCTCACCGGTGCGATCGACGTCATCGTTATCGAACAGCCGGACGGCACCTTCACGTGCTCGCCCTTTCATGTCCGTTTCGGCAAACTCGGTGTACTTCGCTCGAGGGCAAAAGTGGTGAGTCAACATTTACAATTAGCGATAATTTTTTGCTGTGTAAGCGCATCAATAGCATTATCTATGTACTCTCTATTGTGCTGTTTATACATATTTTTCGTATTTTTACATATATTATATGATATTTAATGTATTTTTTAGGTAATTATTGAGAAATATTTTTTAAATTGTGATATGATTTATGTGTAAATATATATATGTATATATATACATATATATATATATATATATATATATATAATTTGCATATAAAATAATATTTTCTTATTAAAATATTTCTTTTCTGTTAAAAGAAATAATTTTTCTTTTTTTTTTTCTAAAAAAACTTATCATATGTATTTCTTGGATATTAAAATAAAATGATAAATTATATTTTGTTACTTATATAATAATATATATAGTTATATTATTGTATCTTGCCATATATATATAAAGAATATTTTTATACAGGTGGACATTGAAATAAATGGAGAACCTAGGGAGATTCATATGAAACTTGGAGATTCCGGTGAAGCCTTCTTCGTAGAGGAAGTTAGCTTAAATGGATCTCCAACGGATACTGAAATTCCACCGCATTTGGCCTGTTCACCTATACCTGATGACAACTGCTTCCCAACAGCAAAATTCAATCTCTTATCAGATCTGCCTCAAGAACAAAAAGAGAAGATCCTTATAGATTCAGTTCTTTCTATAGAACGTGAAAAATGGGAGCAGATGTCCGCCTTACCACCCGATCAACGAGAGAAGTTTCTGATAGAACAGTTCTCAGATCTTCCTGCGGAACATCGTGAGAAGTGGCTTCAGATTGCTTCATTGACTGTAGAAGAACGAGATGAAATGTTTAAGGAAAGTTTTGGCACGATATCTCCAGAACAAAAGCAGCGGATGATCAGGGAACAATATTCCGCCTTGAAAATGGAAGATAAAGAGAAATTGTTCAAGGAAAATTTCCCAGAGCTTTCGATTGAGCAAAGACAAAATTTTGAAAAAGCTTTATTGAGTGACTGGAAGGAAAAAGAAGAAAACTGGGAAGAAAAACATGATAAGAATGAAGACGAAGAGATATTTGATATGGATGCTATCAATGATGAACAGCCAAAATTACCAGTTTCTTGTCCAAAATCTTTTATAGCTGTTACTTCATCTGAACGAATTCGCAAGATCAGCGTGGTAAATAATGACTTTAGACCAATTATGGATGATCCGCAAAGCAGTAGTAAGGAAAAATCAAGTGACGAATCAAATTCATCTTTGAATAAGAAAAATTTGAAAGAAGAAAACATTGAAGAGGTAAAAAGTAACAATTCGACTAAAAGGAAACGCAAGAGGAAGAGTGTTATGAAGAAAAAAGGCTCACAAAGAAAAACTAGCAATGGTAGCAGCAGCCAAACAGAAATGAGCGAGACAGATGTATTAGTTACCGAGGAATCAATTAGTGAAACTGTAAATAATATCATTTTATTATATTTCTCATTATTATATGTAATCGACACTCTTATTTATTGAAGATTTTCAAGGGACCCACGCCAGTTGCAGAAGTTGAAAAGAACAATACTGTGGAATCAATGATATGCTCTCAGGATGCAATTGAAAAACGTCCTGAAACCGATTTCCATTTCTTCAGTGATTCAGAAATTACCAAGTATGTAATCTTTGTTGTACAATTCTTGTTGAAAAATAATATATAAATATACAAATGTATTTATCATATATTACATATATTATAATGATATATTTAAAAGGAACAAAGACTCCAGATCATGTTCACCTATTCAATCTGACACGGAATTCGAAGTACGTAAAATTACACAAGAGGGTAGTGAAAGAGAGGATGACAAGGGTCATCAGCAGAGTTGGAGATGGGGTGAATTGCCCAGTCCACCTCCAGAACCAGTGCATATGTCGCATAGGAATTCATTGAGTTCTTCAACTACAGCTAGTCAGCCAAATAGTTAGTACATAATTTTATTTTAATTTGATTATTCAAATTAAAATATTTCAAACTTTATACTGCAATTAATAATATCATCAATTTTGTAATAGATATATTATAATTGATTGTTTACTTGTTACATTTTAAATGACTAATAAGCCTGATACACATCATAAATATAATGTCGCAAGAGTCTAAATACTTTAGTTTCATGAAAAGAAGCTAACTGGAAGCTTGATCTACTAACCATTTGCTAACCGCTTTTTTAATGACAGAAGATGCACAACGATCTATGCTCAGTGGCATGTTCTCTTTTATGAAGAAGACTTCTCGCGTAAGACACAATCCAGAATCAGAAGGAATTTATCTTAGCGATCTTAATGCCGACGAATTGGATCCTGAAGTCGCGGCTTTGTATTTTCCTTCTTCGCATCGAGGTTCGACGGTGATTAAAGGTATATTGGTAAACTTGCTTTTTGCTTTAGCATATTAAATGCATGCAATTAAAACTAATGCGTCAATAACTATGCTTCTTTTTATTTTTGCATCATCGAATTACATTGAAGCATTTTTGCGTTTTTAACAAAATGTTAAATGTTAAAATATTTAATGAAAATATTTTATATAATTTATAAATTTAAAAGATTTTACAACTTTCTGTACTAAAAAATGTATTTTCCCTTAGATGTTAGTAATAAATATATATGATGACTAATAAATATATATACTAACTTTTATAAATAAAATTTATTATTTTTGTTGTTTTAGTTGATTCAAATTAACTGGTTGCAGTATTGTTCTGCTTCTTATATTTTTTACATCAAAACATGTGTATATTTCTTTTTAGATGGAAAAGTAGTGGACGAAGAGGACACAGAATCTGGTAACGGTCCAAGTTTACCTCAAAGCCCCAACAGTGTTGAGGGAGCCATCGGTGGGCCAAAGTCCCTGGACAGCGATTTCGAAGAACCAAAGCATTCTATATTCGATAATAACATAGAAATAAGTATGTCACTATGCGGTGGTCTAGACAATGAGAATGGTCCTTCCAAGGAGGGTTTTCACGAAAATTTACTGCATTTTGAGGACGTTTGTACCGATCCAAAACTATATGAAAATCCGAATTTGGTCGTGAGAATCAATGGAAAATTTTACAATTGGGCTACAGCTTGTCCAATAGTGCTGACTTACGTCGTTTTTCAAAGACACTTACCGCAACGTGCAATTGAAAGTCTGTACATGTCCTTACCAGTACATGAGGATAAGAAGCTACAAAGCAACGGCAAGCCCGAGAGTCGTAGCGGATATAGTTCTTGGTTTTCTTGGAGACGTTCCACGCAACCTCCTAAGAAAACACAGGACATTAATCAAAGTAAGACATTTAAAATTTTTTATTCTATTTAACAAACTTTTTATATTTTATACACACACACACATATATATTTTACATATAATAATTTATATTTGTTTCATGATTTATTAATATGTATCTTCTATCGATTTTATCACAGTCGAGGAAAGTGCCGTGCAGTCTGAACAGATTCTAGAAACTAAAGTAGCAGATGAAGAAATACTCTCTGCTAACAGGTAGATCTTAACGATTCTCTTTCTTTAAAACATTCGATTCTTTATATTTCTATTAATAATAATGTAATTCTGTTAATTATATCTTCAGAGAGGAAAAGACTGAACAACACATAGATTTGCCAAGCTCAACAGAAGCGATAGAAACTTGTACAAGATTAATATCCTCACCAAACGAAACTGTGCTTGCAAAAACTGAAAAAACGCGTGAAGGAGAGGGCGAAGGATACAGCGGTGGTGAGGATTCCGATAGTAATCATAACGAACCACCAGGTATTAAGATACCTATTGAAAGAAGACCATATTACGAGTCCACGGAGAAATATCGTAAAACTTTACGATTGTCATCTGAACAGATTGTAAGTATTTTCACGCATAGACATTTCGCATGCAATCGTAAATAAAATATAAGTAAAAACTCAATGTTTTTGTGTCATTTTATAGGCAAGTCTTGATTTGAAGGACGGCGCTAATGAAGTAGTTTTTAGCGTAACCACCGCTTATCAGGGTACAAAACGTTGCAAATGTCACATCTACAAATGGAAATGGGATGACAAGATCGTCATCTCTGATATCGATGGCACTATTACGAAATCTGATGTCCTGGGTCACATTCTACCGATAGTAGGCAAAGATTGGGCTCAATCAGGAGTCGCTCAGCTGTTCACTAAAATCAAGAACAATAGTTATAAACTGCTATACCTTTCGGCGAGAGCAATCGGTCAAGCGGGAGGCACCCGAGAATATTTGAGAAATTTGAGACAAGGAGATTTGACATTGCCGGAAGGTCCATTGCTCTTGAATCCTACTAGTTTAATCTTGGCATTTCATCGTGAAGTAATAGAGAAAAAGCCGGAAGAATTCAAGATATCCTGTCTAAAAGATATTCAAGCGTTATTCCCCGAAGGATCTGAACCATTTTATGCTGGATATGGAAATCGTATAAATGTATGCTCAATAAGTCATATCGATCATTAATTATAATTTAAATATAATTATATACAAATAATTATATATAAAATGGAATAATATATAAAAATATTTTACATATAGGATGTATGGGCATATCGAGCGGTAGGCATTCCTATAATGCGGATCTTTACCATCAACCATCGAGGAGAATTGAAGCACGAATTGACGCAAACATTCCAATCTTCGTAAGTATTACAATATTGCCGTTTATTGAAATAATAAATTCTTCTTTTTTGTGTGTCAAAAGTACATAATAGAACAAAATCAGGAATTGGAAACATGTATATATTTGATTGTCGTAATAGATGGCAATATATTCTAATAAATTATTCTTACTTAAATTATTTATAATATTTTTTTGTAGTTGTAACAATTCTTTTCTATGCTTTATATATAAGCTTTATATAACATTTTTTTCCTTATTTCAGTAAATTTTTTTGATGAACAATATTAACTTTTGTTCAAAACAATCGTTTTATTTATAGATGAAATATGCAATAATAATTGTAACTGATTACATTTTGTATTGTACAGCTTACATTTAATCCTATTGTCTTTTTCCTTAGCTATCTTCTATCCAAAGCTTACTAACAACTCTTGTGATCTGATTATTTTTATTAAAAATATTAGGAGAGTGACCTAATTAAACAAACTGGATCGCGTTCTTCATACTAAAAATCAATTATGATAAAACTTGAGCATATTGGAGAATGAAGTTATTGGTTGAAAAAAAAGAAATGCAATTTTTTTCAGTGGGTATTGATAGGTCGGATATTTCTATGATTACAGTTATGCGCGTCAGTGCAATATCATCAATGAGTTGTTCCCGCCACCAATGCCAAACATCTACTGATAGCGGCAAAACCATAAATTTTATCAGATGAATTAATTAAATTCAAATATCATACATAGTAAAATATTAATAATATCTTGTTATATTTAATACATTATTGTGTTATGCTTGGAAGACATTACCACGCATAATACAATTAATGCTTTATTTTTCGATAATTGATTTATTATTAGTACAAAGTTGACACGCACATTTTTCTATGCACGAGCAATATGACAAATTATAAGATAAAAGACTCATTTGCAATTATAAATATTTAAATCGAATATATCTCCAGTAGAAATGCAAATTAGATACTGTAGTATACTATACTATTTTTCGGGATATATATTTGGTCGTACAACAACTTCCGCCTAATCTTCTTATGATTTAGGGTAAGCACTTGTTTTGTACAAGCTTTTTATCGTCGCTTGATACGCTTTGGTTTCTAGCCACCATAAATGCCATCTCATCAATGGGAACAATATACATTTTTCCATTTATATATTAGCCAATAATGGGAAAGGAGTGGCATTAATGTAATTTATAATGTTTTGAAACATTGATTTTTGACTGTACAAAGTAATATTTGCCATCTCGATCATCTTATTTTTTACTTGCTTATTGTCCATAATTTTTCAACCAGACACTTCACGATTATTTTTACTATACTCATCTCTACTAAATGATCTTTACTAAATGATTTCATTACTCAAACATTAATCAGTATTAATGTTAATTATAAGATCATAGCCAGCTGGAAATGTCACGTTGTTTTTATTTGTATCTTGTTTGACCTATTTTTGTTTTATCTATGATTCATTATATAATTTATATGATTTACATTTATTGATTATATAATTTATGTGATTTACATTCATCATTCTTTTCACGATTTATTTTGTATTACACTTTGTATCAATCTAATCAATCTAATCTTAGGTGTGCTATATACATTTATATTTTAACTCAATTCTTATTTGATACATATTACATTCATGTAATATAATACATGTTAAGAGATATTTAAATTGACAAAACTCTTATTATACATTTCCTTAATAATTCATGTATTGAGAATCATTTTACATAAACTATAAATGTAGATTAAACATTCATTTTTCAGCTATATTGACAGTACAAGAATATGCTTGACATATGTTCTGCAATTTTTATTTGTTTTCATTATAGATATTCGAACATGAGCTTCATCGTTGACCATGTGTTCCCGGCATGGCGAGAGGATGCAACCGAGGAGTTCAGCAATTTTGTGTATTGGCGGGATCCGATACCTGAAGTACCGAAACTCGAGGAGTTTTATGCTCAGGCTCAAACTACCTAAAGAACTTTACTTTATTCTATATCTGTCATTCGCTTGTACTACAAAGGATGATCATCATATTTAGCTAACTTTTATACCCTGTGCATTAATCGTAGTGACCTTGATAGGTGTGATTGTTTTATATCAATACGTTAACAGTTTCGAAAATGCGAACATTTTGTTCGGATATTAGACTTATATATTATTTAAATATTAAATTAATAAAATAATTAAAAATTAATAAGTTTAATAATCACTTATATGTGTTGGGATCTTATATATATAAAAAGCTATAATATATAAGTTATAACTTAATTTATATTACATATAAAATTTTATATGTGTATCTATATATGTGTATACATATTATATATATATATATATATATATATATATATATATATATACACAAAGATTATATGTAAAACATATAAGTGATCTGAAAAGTAAACTTCATTACAAGCCAACACATTCCATAGCTTTGTTATAATGAGTAATCAAGATTTTTGTGTTAAAAGAGATATAAAAAATATACTCTAACATAATCGAGTTTAATCACACCAGTCAATGTACACAACGTAACTAGCAATTAGATATAATGCAGGTATATGCTTTATAGTATAACTAAAACGAATTCTATACTATGCATTATGCTTGATAAGGTACGTAATCTTCATGTCAAGTGATATTGTCAGATCATTGTAGAACACATTTTGGAAATTGATAGCCGAAAATAGTTTCTTAATCTTTTATGCATCGCGCGAATTGTCTATATTTATGACGGTAATTCTGGACACAGCCTTGCTTGTTACTGCACATATGTAAGTTTTATACAAGCATCTAATTGTCTATTAGTACGTATTGTCAATTTTCCATATTGATCTGCATTGGAATTTTGTTTACTAATTGATAATAAGACATTATTCTAGTAGATATAAGATATGTTAACAGATGAATAGTTAAATATTTGTTACTTATGTTTCCTATTTTTAGATAACTCTATATAATTTCAAAGAACTATAGTTTATTTTTGTATGAGATCTCGATTAATTTAGCGTGCTGTGAAATTGCCATATCATTGAATGAAGTTATCATTTGCATTGTGATATTCTTGATCAAATTAAGGATTATGAAGTAGATAATGTGTACAGACATGAATTTTCTTTAAATACCCCAACATTAAGATAAAATACAAATTTACTCTGTATTCCACATAGATAGATTATACATGACGTATTTTTTTATTTCTTATTTAATAGTCTTTTTTTTAATCATGGTTGTTGTAATACATTCTATTAGTTTTCAGTCTTTCATATGTTACCTTTATGACGTATAGATTAAGTTATTATTTTAGTTCGATGGAACGATAATGTGAAAATAATATCGGCGAAGTCACATTTCGTGTTTCTCAAGTCATGTTATTGAAGCACAAATGTAGGTACAACTATATTCAGCCAAAGAGGATAGGAGTTACATATTCACAATAGATCGTATCAAATAACAATGCAAAAAGACAACAAGATTAAAAAAGAGTTACAAAACAAATCATTTTCATGAGACTCTATTTAGATAAATATAATGGCACAGAGTGACAAAGGTATGACAAAAAGAAATATTGTACAAATTCTGTTTTGTTGATTTGAAACAGACTACTTGATGATTGATTTGAAATAGTTTAATTTAATTCAATGTATATTGTATATATGATATAGGATATAAATGTTATATTGTATATTTATAATTATTTAATATTTAATTTTTGTAGTATATTTATATTCATTTTTTGTTAAAATTATATTCTTGGTACAAATAAATTTAGACAAAGTCTGTTTATAATTTCCTTTGTTCTATTTATAATTTGTTAGTATATATTATCATGATATGACTTGTAGTAATGTTGAAATAGAATTTCACCATTTTTTAATACATGAAACAGATTGGAAATCTGAAATAAGGAATATGATTAAAGAGAAAAGTGATAAGATTGGTTGTAATTTATCAAATTTGATATCTTTCTATTAAATAATATTGTTTTACAGATATAGAGAATTTTTATAATAAGTATGGTGATTAAAAGATTCCATGTCAACACTAGCACATTACTTGTAAGATGATATCATAATGCAGCATGTTTTATTAGATTAAGTTTATTTCATTTTCTTAGCAGAATATATTAGTACATCGTTCTAAGCTCTTCTAATATAATAAATGTATACCCTGTATTCTTTAGAGAATCATAAATAATAAAAATCATAAAAATGGTTAATTTCACTATTGAAATATGATCATTTCATATTGATATCTTTTGTTGGTTTTCATCAATCTTTTCTTTTATTATTTATAAATATATCTCTTATTTATATCAAATTACATTTTGTTAATTTTTTAAACAGCTGTCATAAAAATGTTTTATATATAAAGTATACAATATTATTTTAGAATGATTTGTATAATTTTGTTTTAATCGATGTTCTGCTCGGCCAACGAGTTTTAATCTGAAATATTTAACACTGTTTAATTTATTTGTGTGTGTATATAGCATAGATGCATCACAATTTTTAACAGAAAAATAAGATTCATACATTGGCAAGATTATTTACACGGTTAATATTTTATCAGTTGTATACCTCACGTTTTAATTTTTGAATATTTTTTCTTCTAATACCTTCATTATCTGAATGTTCTAAAGACTCGATAGAAGATGTACTGTGCCTTTTATCATTGAAATCAAAAACTACCTTAGGTACATTATTACTATTTGCTTTCGTGCGATTCGTTGACCCCAAATACCAATAATATATGGCCTAAAAATATTATTTGAAACGTGAACAAAATATCATATATATAAACAAAAAATACATGGAATAATAAAAATGATAAAATGCATGATAAAAACATGATAAAAATATTTCTATTAGTCAAAGTTCAGAGATATATCAAATTTCACTCACCCATAATATACCAATTATCCAAAATATGGTTAAAACAAATGGTTGCATATTTTAATTAATTAATATGGATCTTAAAATTATATAAACAATTTTTTATATAAAATTATATTTATTATTTGAAATACTAAAAATTTTGACATGTTTAGATTATCAATTATCCAGTGTTCATTTGTTACATATCTCAGGTATTTTAAGTGTGATAATTTCATTACATATGTGGATGAAATAAACAATCTTATCAGAATTTTTAAATAAAAAGGACAATTATAATATATACAAATATGAAATATATTTATATATAAAATCATATATATACACACATATTTTTTTCTAAAATTATAATTTTCACGTGTTATCATTATTATCTACATCCATTTCTTCTCCATCATTTTTTGTTGCGTTATCTGGTACTTTAAGTTTTTTAAAACCATGTTTTTTTGTATATATTCCCAAAAGTAACAACTTGAAAACTGCTAGCGGTTTGTCCAATAATTTCTACAAGACATCAAAGATTTAATAATTTTTTGAAAAATTTTGGTGTATTATATATTATAAAAAATATAAAATATATACCAGAATTTGTGCTTGCTCTGGTGTTAATACATCATTCTTCTGACAAACTCTGAATGGTTTAATTAAAGTGATAATTCCCTTTTGCAATGAGGTAGGCATACCCAATTGTCTTAGCTGAGGTTCCATACTATGTTGAAACTGTGGCAAAGGTCCTTCGGGTAATTCGATTGTTTCAGGTGTTACAAATCCAGAACGAGCATATTCCATTTCTTCATATTTTTCTGCCCATTCAATTACCTATGTAAATAAATACATTATTAGTAATATAAGTGTAATATATATGAAATTTTTTATTATACAGTTTCAAAATATATTTCCATACAAATTGAATAAAGAATTTAATAGATTTTAGCTTTAAATTCAGCTTAATATATGTTATAATATATGTTATTATTATTTAAATTTATATATTATATACCTCTTTTTTTGATCTATTAGTGAATAACAGACCACATTGACCTTTCATCGAATGATTCTTTATCGCATTAGCTAATTTATGTATGCCATCTGCAACCTCAGTCTCTCGTGTCTTTCCTAGACCCAATGCAATTATTCTAAGTTTACCAAAAAAAAGTCTACTATCATTCCATTCTGTACGCAACTCAAGAAGCTTAGTATTGCGTGTATTTTGAACAGAGATTAAAAATATGCGATTGTAGTCTTCTACACATTTCTTAACATCTTCTATGATTCGCTGTTTCAAAACTAAACCCTTTTTATTGGTTTTAGTGAGAGATACTGGAACAAAATATTTTAATTATATATGTATTTATATCATAAAATATCTTACTATTATTGTACAGATGTCAAAAATAATATAAGTATTTGTATAACGTGAAAACAAAGTTATATAAATTTAATTTTGTAACAAAATTATCCATAGTTAATCAAAATTAAATCATTAAATATTATTTTTAGAGGTTAGTATAATAAAAAAAACTTTAAACATTTTATACACAAAACTATAATTTTGGAAAATTACCTTTCTTGTCCCTCTTTGATTTTGGCATCTTTGAAATTGGATTCTTTTACAAAAATATAAGAGAATTAGAAAAATAGTACAGTGCACATGGTATCACAAACAAATTCTGTTCAAACGAGTTTCAGCGCCTCTCGCACTCGTATTAACGAACTAAAATCGGTCACGTGACGAGAAGTAGATGTATTGAAAAAATTATGTACGCGCGTGAATATAATCTGTGTATAGTAAATATATTCCTACATGAATCAGTTTATATATAAAGTTGATAATGGAAAAGTTTTTTATATTCAGGTGATAGCATTATTTATAAAGTTACAATGTAATAACCGCCGCTACTTTTATCAAAGACATATATAAAAATGCTACTTTTAACCTTAAATTTTTCACAAATTGTATAGACAAATTATACAAAATTTCAACTACAAGTATATTATCGTATATCGTAATAGAGCAATGGAAAATTCATTTTTTATGAAATCGTGTTTAATTTATGAGCATTTTATTGGTGAACAAGCTCTATAAAATGTATAGAGAGGACGCCACGTGTAGAAAACTGGAATAAATCAAGGCTGGATTTCATGAATTCTTCAAACCAAATTTGTTGGTAACTTTTGAATATTTATATAATTCTATTTTAAAATAAAAACTATTTGTGTCCTCTATATTTTTAAGAATAAGATAAGATAATTATTTATTTCAGAAGATTATATAATTTTCTTCTGGACTTTTAGAAAAATATTAAAAATGTTTGAAATCTCCATAAATAACTTATATAATTTATATAAATCTTTGAATTCTATTTTCTAAAGCAAAACTCGATTTCCATGAGGCATTCAGTTTCATCGAAATAAAGTCGGTCGGAATAAAAATGTCAATGTATTTAATATCTACAAAAATATTTGAATCCGATTTGAATCAACATTTTCCGTATATTTCGCGATTACAAACGCTATGAGAGGTATTTCGTTCTTTCTAATTTTTTCTTTCGTTTCTTTCAGGTGACTCGCCTTCGAAAATTGCCCGCGCTCGTGCAACGGAGCGATTCGAATCGACGCGGCGGCGGCGCCGCGCGCCGGAAACGGGCGTGCGAGCGCCCGGCAAGATGGTGGCTTCCGCTGGTCGCGCCAGTGCATTCAGCGAGAGCGTAGTGAACGGTAGCCGTTGAACACGTCGAAAGCTCGTTTTCCCAGGTCGCTTACAGCACTCGAAAAGGTGAGTCCCCCCCCTCGTCTCCCGACTGTTCGCCCGTCAACCCCTCGCGTCGTCGACGGGGGCGATCGCGCGTCACCGACATCGGCGAATTACGCGATGTGCGCCGTAACGCGGCCCGTGTGAACCCCGTAGCCATGCAGCTTCGACGACATCGTCGGAATTTCGCCGGCGGTAATTACGCCGCGCGCTTCTCTCTCTTTCTCTCCCCCCTCCCTCCTCGATCTCGCCCTCGTTGAATCGAATTAAATCGCGGGACACGATGGTCGTGCGGACCGAGACGAGGATCTTTTCGCGATCCGAAAGCGGCCGCTCGTCGCACCGATGACGCACGAGACGCGCGCGAGAGAGAAAGAGAGAGAGAGAGATAGAGAAAGAGAGAGAAGGAGCGCCCGTCTCGTCGTCGCCATGTTGCGACCGGCGACGAAATTCCTCGCACGTTGCCGGGCTATCTCGAGGAAAAGATATCTGCGTGGCTGCGGTGGTTATCTGTCGGACGATAACCGGGAGTTGGAAGGCGACGATTGACGCGAGTAAAGGGAAAGGGGAGAGAGGCGAGCGCGACGATGTTCGACTCGCTCGCCTGACCATTCGCATCGATCGCCTTTTTCCATCCCTATCTGTCTTTCTCTCTCTCTTTTTCCCTCTCTCTCTCTCTCTCTCTCTTTTCTCTCCTGGGTTTTTTGATTCTTATTTACAAAAGGCTGCTCCGTAAAAGTTATCATCCGCGGTGCCATAATCGCGTCTTTCGATACGATTTTTTTTGCTATTTTCACGCAGTTAATTGATACGTTGATAATTGCTGTGGCTCGTGCAAGAGTAGGTGGGTGACTTTTATTAATGACATGTGCGCCGCGAAATCGATACGCGAAACGAGGATATTTCGTTATAGCACTTGGCGTCGTTTGTAAGAATTGCGTGATCCGCGTAGGAAATACCGTCTACATACTTTGTGACACACCGTTTGAAAGGTTGCCCACCTTTGCTTTATGCGCGTACGTATAAACAGACAAATGTGCAAAGCCGTTGGTAATCTATGAGACAGGTGATCTACATGTGTCGCGAATACATTTTTGTACGTAACTCGCCGTACAAACTGCGTAACGCGAATATATATCACGCGTGCATCAACTTACATTAATTTTTTAAATGCCGCAAACAACTGTTGAAATTTCTTTTTCGCATAAATCCGATTACAGTCTTACAGTGAATTTTTCTTGCCCGGGAAAATACAATTCCACGATCAATAATATTGATAATTTTTATATATTTTTTATATATTCGTAACGTCGTGATACAATTTTTTCTATCGACAGTTTGAAAGTTAATGCTCTGTCAATTTGCACGTTGCATCAATTGTCACGAATGACAAATTTTTTCTTCCCACGGTAAAATAATGAAATTAGTTGTGAGTGACAAGCGAATATCGAGTAGCTTTTTGATATATGAACTAGGCATATATTCAATAGCATGCCTCCAGATATCACTTGGATAAACAAATCTCTTTAATGAAACTTTCTTCGCTAATTTAAGTGTATAATGAATGATACTATTAGATTATCTATCCGCAGTGTCCGCCCATTTTGCCTCTAAGTCATCGAACAGTCCGCGAGTCTCTTTTCGCCAAGGCCGACACCCTCCTCCTTCTCCTTCTCTCTTCTCTTGATTGCCTCCGCGGTTCTATGTATTTGCGTAACGAGCGAAGGCCTCTTTTACGTTCCGAAGGCCATCGCATTTCTCACTCTCGCGACACTCTCGCGATCACTCGTGGCTGTCGCCATTCATCCGTCCACGGCTTTACTGACCGATCGTAACCTACCTAAACACGCGAGAGAGAAAGCGATACTTGCACAGGGTGTCGAAAAGAAAAACTTTCGACAGTTTATATAACAGATATGTTGTCAAAATTCAAAGTATTAGAATGTCGGTAATTTTTTCGTTCAAAGTGAAAAAATGCGAATTTAGCACTCAAATTTAAAAAAATTAAGAAATTGTGGAAAGAGATGACACTTTCAATTTTTACTAAAGAAATTTAAATTTAAATTTGCAAATTGGTCAGAGAATTTGAACGACACTCTGTGTTTTTCACTAAATTTGCAAAGATGCGCATTTGTGTTGTGTATTTGAGCATCTGCTGGCTAATTAAATTATTGTTGTTCCGTGAAAAGGGAGACACGGATTAATTGATATATCGATTTTGTGGTACAATCTTGCAGTAGATGCGACCAGCTGCGAAATACAGGTGAAATTCCGTTTATCAGCGCATTCTCGGAAATACGATATGTGGCTTCTAACCGAGTTAATTGCTGTCTAACACAGTCTCTAGATAGAGATCTAAAATTCGCAAATCTAAGTGAAAAGTTTGCATCATTGAAAATTTTTTAAATTAAGGCTAAAAAGATCTTTTCTAGAAGAATTGGAAAGTTTTTTCAAGAAATTATTTCAAGAATAGTTGTAAACTAACGTGAAAAATATCAAGTATTTAATCTGGTTATACATTAATCTACACAAAATCGACATGCAATAATGTATGCTGATTATGCAATTACATATGCGCTTGTTTAATGCGATCCAATTTTGCGACACACATATACAGATGCTTCAACGTATCCCGGGACTGCTTACAGCAATTACTGTGGTCGCTGCGTTGCACTCGCTGTAATGGGAATATTAATTTAATTAAAATGATTTGACGTTAATGATTATTCTGACACATTATTTACCATCATTTAGGCATTGTAGAGGCATCGCGTGCCGCTAACTTTGAAGTGTCCTTAATTAATAAACGGCCTCGGGACTTTAGTAAACCATCGAGTTCAATATTCAATAGTTTTCGATTTAACAAGAGTTACTTGTCGGAATCCATATCGACCGAATAATCGATTTATCCCGCGCCAATTTCAGATATTCTCTGTCTTTCTCTCTCTCTGGCTATTTCACATAATGCGTCAACTCAGCTTTGATGTCGGATGAAAGCGTTGTCGAAATCATATATTTCGTCCGTCGATGCAGCGTCAGCTTATAATTCCATCGCTTGTCGATCTCGCAGCTGATCAAATGTGTCAGTAGTTTACGCGCCGCTCGTAATTAAATTTATTCAATTTCGAACGATTTAATCTCGCGGATTTTGTGAAAAACTAATATTATTAATTTTTATTCAGACATCGTTTTTTTACGCGATACGTTTGATTTAAAAAATTAGTATGTTTATTGTACATAATTTGCAATTATTCCCACGAGCGTCGTTAGTTATTAACTAGTTATTGACTGAAAATCAAGAATCGATGCATGCCAAAACCTACGAGGATGTTTCGTATAATGTTTCTAATTTTATCGAAAGCGCTAGTAAAATCTCTGACGTGATTTAATCGATTTGCTTTTAGTCGGGCAAAGACAAACACGATTTATTCGCGAATCACACTCTTCTTTAAGAGATATATGTGATCTGTTATATCAACCAATTACTATCGAAAAATCTTGCATTAGAAAAAGATTGCATATTTTTTCACGTTACAAAACTGTAAAATTGTTGAAACATTTCATTAATCATATTTATTACATTCGAGATTGTAATAATTCGAAAAGTTTTCTAATTTCGAGGCAAAATCTCAATCACGTAAAAAGTTTGTTTTAATTAAAGCAAATAATTACATATTTGACATTTACATAAAATGTTTTGTTAGGTGCGTTATTATCATGGAAAATATTGAATTCAATTAAAATCAACAAGAGGCAATCAGATTTTTAACTACGCTTCGTGAAAATATTCGACGGTTGGCAGAACGCGCGTTAATGGATCTCTGAAAATCGCGTTTCTGCCGTAATGATTATTCCATCTGCAGGTGGAATTCAACTTGACGCGAGCTCATTTCCTCGTTGGAAAGCGACGTCCGTGATCGGAATCGCGTCAGGCTTATTCAAGAAAGTCGTATTCATTCGATGCATCGCTGTTCACATCGCGGT